TGGTAAGACTCACCACCCTCCTGCCCAGCTCAGCTCCTAGGACACTGGCATCAGGTCCTTACCCTCCAGGCAGAAGATCAAAAGACTCATCTCCGGATAGTTTGACCTACCCCAAAGGAAAGACCTAAAGATCCACATGAGGGTCCTTAGCCAAGTCCACCCAGATGACCCTAGAGTAAAGCTCAAGGTCAATAATCCTTCCATCAGATGGTGCTAGAATAGCCAGATATCCATAAGGAAAACAATGAACTTGGGTCAGCATCTCATCTCATGCACAGAAATTAATAAAAAAATGGATTGCAGACATAAAAATAAAACCTAAAACTATAAAGCATTTAGGAGAAAACACAATATCTTTGAGATGTCAGCATTGGCAATGATTACTTATTTCACAAAAGAGACTGTAAAATGAAAAAATTGATAAGCTGATCTTAATCAAAATTTAAAACTTCTAGTCATCAAAAGACCCCATTAAGAAAATATATAGGCAAGCCACAGTATTGTGAGAAAATATTTGCTGCACATATTCTGAAAAGGGCCTCAAATCCAGAAAATGTTTAAAAACTCTTAAAAATCATTAAAAAAATGATAAAAAATGGGCAAAAGACACATGACAATAAGCACTAAAACAGATCCTCATCATCATTAGACTTCAAGGAAATACAAATTAAAATCCCAACAAGATACCACCACACTCTCACCAGAATGGCTAAAATTAAAAAACAAAAAAACAAAAAACCCCAGACATTAACAAATGTCAGCTAGGATGTGGAAAAACTAGAAAGTAACTCCCATACTAACTAAAAATGGAAAATACCCCAAAGGTTAATTCACAGGAGGGTGGGTAAACAGACTGTGGGATAGTCATGCAATAGAATACTTCTTGGCAATAAAAGAGAAAACTATACAAGGCAGCCCGCTGTCCCCCTGACCAGGCTTCTTCCAGAAGTCCACTGCACTTGGTTCACTTCCAGATGCCCCAAATGGGGTAAGCCCTACATTTGCAAGGACTCATTCATGACCTTGCCCATTAACTTCCCAGGATGGGCACCGAAAAACTCCTAGGGAAGTGCAGGATGGACACTGTGCAGCCTACTTTCCCTGGGAATCTTCGTCTACTACCAGCAGCATTGCCTTTTCCTTGTTTAGCTAGGTTTGGGCTTGCTTCTCAGCTGTCGGGATGAACAATATATGGCTAGCGATACACACTTAGATTAACACGGGAATCAGGACAGTGGTGAACTCTGGGTTCAAAGAAGGGGATGCAACTGAAGAGGGACTCACAGGGAGTTTGAGAGCAGGGGTGCTGACCTACCTCTTGGTTTGGGGTGGTGGTTCACAGTGCTCACCCTCTAAAGAAAGAGCCACAGCCCTTCCAGCCTGGGAGTGAACGTTCTATCATGACCAGTGACAGCATGCACAGCTGTGTCAACGAGAATTCTGTTCATGTGACTTCAGGGTGAATCATCATCAGGGCTAGAAAAATGAGCCAACTGCAGCAGTATATCCACTAAACCTTCTCAGGAACTTCTTCGTGCCCGTAGCTAGGTGGTAACACTCTTGGGGGCAAATGGGAAAAGCAACCTCATTCAAAAACCTTAGGCTGCACTCAAGCTAACACGTGAAGCAAAAGTATCCACACAGACACTCACAAGAGCAGACTGCACGTCAACTTCCAACCCTACTGAGCCAGGAGAAAAGCACCTCTGAGTGCAGTACAAACAAACAGATATAATACTGATCTTTCAGATAAAACTCCTCTGAAACTATAGACATCATATCATTCAAACTCCACACAAAAGAAATAATTCCTAGCAAAAATACTGTGTAAAATACACGTAGGCATGCAGATATTCATTCATTCATTCATTCATTTAGTGAGCTTAGGCCCAAATGGTCCAGCTTGGTGGTGAAAATATCTAGACCAATTAGAATAGGCAAGCATTCACTATCCTTCCTCAGAAGCAAACACATACCTCAGTTTTCTTCCCCCTTATTAATTAATTAATCAATCTATTTATCTATTTATTTATTTATGGCTGTGTTGGGTCTTTGTTGCTGCGCGCGGGCTTTCTCTAGTTGCGGCGAGCAGGGGCTACTCTTCCTTGCGGTGGGCGGGCTTCTCATTGTGGTGGCTTCTCTTGTTGAGGAGCATGGGCTCTAGATACACAGCCTTCAGTAGTTGTGGCACATGTGGCTCAGTAGTTGTGGCTTGCGGGTTCTAGAGCACAGGCTCAGTAGTTGTGGCACACAGGCTTAGTTGCTCCACGGCGTGTGGGATCTTCCCGGACCAGGGCTCGAACCCGTGTCCCCTGCATTGGCAGGCGGATTCTTAACCCCTGCGCCACCAGGGAAGTCCCATACCTCAGTTTTTGAAGTCTATCCATTTCTTCAGTCTTGAGTTCATTCAATTCCTTTGTTTTTCTGAAAGTTTCAGCATCAAGCCAATTGAGCCTAGAGGATGGTATCAGAGTCACCCTAACTCTCCTCAAACCAGCCAGGACTCCCTGGGGCTCCAGTCTGGGCTCCACTGTTGGCTTCTTAGGTGATTCCAAAGTACTTTAAGCAGGCAGATGGTCAATAAACATAAGAAGTGTGACTACACCACTAAACAATCTCAACTAGTTGTGAAAATGACTAGATGATGTAGAATAGCCCTGCTGCTTTGGTTTTTCTCTACCTCAGAAACACACAGTTACCTCTGTTTTTGCATTTTGTCCATTTCTTCGGCTTTTAATTCTTCTAATTCCTTTAATCTTTTGGAAGTTTCAGCATCAAGCCAAGTGAGTCTAGCAGACAGTACAAAAGACTCAGACCAATTCTGCCTTGACCTGCAGGTATCATTACCACAAAAAAAGACCAGGAGTCAGGATCCCCCAGAGCACCAATCCTGGCTCCATTAAGGACTCAGGAGGTAACGCAGCCTCTGGGCCAGTAAAGCTCTCCGTGTAACGTTTCATGTAAAAAGACATTCACCCTCAAGAGCACTCCTAGTGAGTGTGCAGAGCCACACACACACAAAAAAATACCCACGAATATTCTCGAGAAAAGTAGCCATTGCTGCAATTAGGACTTCTTGCTCAGCTGTAAAACAGAGCTGTTCCTGTATCTTCCAGCTCAAAGAAATGGGCTCCCAGGAGAGCCCTAAAGGCAGAGCAAAGTCAAATAAAAACAGAAAGGAAAAGCTAACTCGGAGCAACCTTATTGTATGTGTTAGGGCTTGATGCTTTCAGTTTAGGGTACGTGAATAGTATCAAATTATCTAATGGTCCACTTTCGCTTTGGCTTCCCCATAATTGCAAGAACAATTCCAGCCAAATGAATGCAGAGCAACCTGTTTTCACTGCTCTCTTGTCATGGAATGGCCTCACCTCATCACCCCCTATTTAAAGCCTATTATTTAAGTCCTAATTGATTTTCCATCTCCCTCCACAAAGCCTAGATCTCTGCAGAGGTGTCCTGTCCCCCTTCTGAACTCTCTCAGCTCTTAACTTTTCAGTTCTCAGGGGACATACCATGTTCTATCTTAAATTATAGTCAGTGATATGCCCTCTTTACTGAGTATAAATAAGCAGCAGCTGGGATTCTGTCCTTTTTGCCCCCCCCTTTTTAAAAGTCTCCAGAGAGCTCACAACTGTACCATATACAAAACAAGCAATTGGTAGACAACTGACACATACGTAATTTTTGAATGAATTAGACAAGGAATAAAAAAGGGGTTCACTGTCTGAGCTGCATAATTTGACAGAAAAGTTTAGTGATTTCCATTTTAAATAGCCAACTTTATACATGGGAAAGAGAAGAGTTCGCTTTAGAATCCTCGTGAAAGGGGGCCTTTACTTTTCAAAGACTTGATGAACGCCAGGACAAACCTCACTGCTTTGTGCTCAACAGCACCTCTCAACTGACTTTCCTCTTGAGTATCTTCTTGCTGGAGAGACTGTTCTTTTGCGGCATCTTTGGGGCTAGATTTCACCTTTAGCCAGGCAGCACTGCAAAAAAATGGAAAACTATGCCTCTGTAATCATTCACTCCACATCCAATGACTCGTAAAAGGTGCCAGCTCAGAGAAGACAAGAGCGTTAAATTAATGGTGATCTACAGGATGGGGCTCTGAATTGGAAACTGAATGTAAAGCAGAGTGAGATCCTCCAGGGTTCAGGCTCAGTGTCAAAGGAGAGAAGTCCTCCTTTGCTTCATAGAAGCAATCACTATTTTAAATGAAAAGAACAACTGTCCATTACAGAATAATGGGTGAACCTCAACAGAACCCTGTTTTAATATATAGATTTGGGTCACTGATTACATTCCATGTTACATAGCAACTTTGTGCCTTTATAAGGCCTAATACAGCACTTTGAGCCGGTAAGCCTTATGCCCTCCCCTCCCCCACCGACTACACATACACTCTAGAAGACAGTCCACTGTATATTTGGTTTGCAATATAAACTCCAACCAACTGCTGTTTTTATGAGCTTACAACTGAATTCACATCTCTATACTAACACATATATAAAAATACAGATTTTTTTTTTTTGGCCACATTGGGTGGCATGCGAGATCCTAGTTCCCCAACCAGGGATCGAACCCATGCCCCCTGCAGTGGAAGCACGGAGTCCTAACCACTGGACTGCCAGGGAATTCCCCAAAAACATAGAATTTAGAGCAGAGAAATAAAAGCAAAAAAGCACATACACTGAGAAATCAGAAGACCTGATTTTAGTCCCAGCTCTGCTATATAAGCAAGACATTAGATTCGCTGGACACTGTTTCTTCAGCTTTAAAGTGAGAGTCGAGGAATAAGCATAACCATCCATTCACAGTCATTCAGAGTCTCCGGGGACTCCACCCCACCAGGCTTCTCACCGTGTCTCCTGCCCGCCTCTTAAAAGCTGAACCCTTCAAGTCACCTATCCTCTCACTTGTTCTCCTCCCCGCACTACTGCTTTGGGCTGCCCTCCTCTTACTGTCCCACCTCCTGGCCCTTTCCACTGTGCTTTTGAGAAGCACTGTCCCACGGTATACACGCTTCCCTTCATGTTTAATTTTTTTTCTATATATATATTCTATAAATTTATTTATTTATTTTTGGCTGCATTGGGTCTTCGTTGCTGCGCATGGGCTTGCTCTAGTTGTGGCAAGTGGGGGCTACTCTTCCTTGCAATGCGCAGGCTTCTTATTGAGGTGGCTTCTCTTGTTGCGGAGCACGGGCTCTAGACGTGCGGGCTTCAGTAGTTGTGGCGCGTGGGCTCAGTAGTTGTGGCTCGCGGGCTCTAGAGTGAAGGCTTCAGTAGTTGTGGCGCATAGGCTTAGTTGCAACGCGGCATGTGGGATCTTCCCTGACCAGGGCTCGAACCCGTGTCCCCTGCATTGGCAGGCGGGTTCTTAACCACTGCGCCACCAGGGGAGTCCTCCCCTTCACTTTTAACCAATTCCCCAAAGACTACTTCCACCTAGCTGGACTCTGCAGCCCCTGAAGGACAATGCCTTCTCCCCAGCTCCGCGGAATGGCGGGCCCTCATTCTCCATGTGCTGTGAGTGAGGGTGACAAGGCAGTAATGTCAGCATTATCCTAACTGTCCCCTGCGGTCAGGACAGCGTCTATGAGATTTGCATGGTTTTATAATCCATATTGTCTTGACTTGGAATAGGAATTATTTTTAAATATTCATTCATTCAGCAAAGATTTACTAGACGTCTACTAAGATTTACTATATCAGGCACTGTACATTCAGATATAAGGAAGGCACAGTTCCTGGCCTCAAGTAACTAGGATCCACTGGGTGAAGAGACAAGTGAAGGGCAGCCCATGATCCTCCACACAGTGAACATGTCCACAGGGTATTGGGGTAACCGTGGGAGTTACCCTACCCATAGCCAGGTAGGAAAGAGGAACCAATAGGCTTCTAGCAAAAAATGTCTCATGTATATATTACTCATCCAAATAAGCTTTTCTCCTTAATGGGAACTAAGGATGCTGCTTTATTTGCTCTAAGGAGTAGGTCACCTTTGATCTGTGGAGGAAAATAAAGTCAAATACCCAAATGGTTCCGTGAATTTTTACATACCATTTAGGAGATGCCAGCGGGGATGTGGGGTTTGGAGGTATCCAAGGAGCCTTATGGTCCTTCACAGGCTGCTGGTTCATTTTTAACCTGGAGGAGACTGTTGTCCGTTGCAACCTGCTTTTGCTGTAAGATTGGGGTGGTCTACTTTTTTCAGCTTTGTGGAGTCCCTGCAAGAGACAACTATGAATTATAAAGCCAAACGGATATCAAAGAAACTGGCTGTAACCTCTGGCTTACTGAAGCTTCAAATGGCCCTATGATGTTCATACACCCATTCAGCAAAAACCTAAGTGGAAAGCACTGTAGCAGAAATTTGGGGAGGGTACAAATTACACTGAAACAACTTTGGTTGTGGGGAGAGGGGTGGAGGCATAAAACTGGAATCCCTGGCTTGGCCGTCTTTATATATATATAAATATATTTTATATATTTATATATATAATATATATAAATATATATATATTAATAATTTTTCCTAACTAAACAAAAGAGGTAAATTGTAAAACATTCTTGGTTAAAATGCATCTCTGAGTCTTAGGCTTCCCATCTGTAAAATGGGAGCTAATGTGTTCACGAATTTCTATAAGATTAAAAGGGCTAATGGAGGAGGAGCACGACGGTGAAGGCAGAAAGGCACACGCCATCTAAACAGAATGGCTACTGTAAAACACTGTAGACGATGAGGCTGCCTCAGAGGAGAGCACCAGGCTGAATTTACACAGGCTGAATCCTGATTTCCCAATGACCCCCCCCCTTAAGAGTTTGTTTGAAAAGGAATAAAGACGATCTTAATCCATGATCTATCAGTAACAGGTGATAATTGCCAATATCCTTTTTCTGGGGTCACCTGACCATATGCAGGTTTGCTACATAAGCCTCTGGACAACCCATCAGATGGGAGTAACTACATTAAGGGTATTTAGACTAGGAGGTGGTCTTGTGGCCAGTTCTCCACTGGTAGGGCCTTAAGTTAAATTTTAGATAGAAGCTTGAAATATAATGTACTTTCAAGCCAGATGGCTCCCAAAGCCATATTAGAAAGTACTCACCCTAAGATGCCTTTCAATATCAAATATTTATCGATATTTATCTTTAGCAGGAAATCTTAATCCCCTCAAATTTCACACTTCCAAATCAGAAGCAGAAAAAACCTGAATTATAAAATAGCCTACCCAGTGAAGACCTTGGTATCAAAACAGTTAGGCTCTTATTAAACCAGAACAAGAAAGAATGCCCTGCCCTTAGTAACAGTATTAAAACTTGTTGTTTTTTGTTAAAAAATAAAAATGACCTGGAGCTAAGCTTAGTTTAGATAGTTGGACTCAAGGGCTCTGGCATTCAAATGCCTGAGAACTCAAATCCTAGCTCCACCTCTTACCTGCCTGTGTGACCTTGGACAATGTCAGATTAATACAAATGGGCCAGAAGAAAGGAGTGATTTCATACTTGCTGTAGTCTTGCCGGTGCCAGAGTATCTTTCTTCCTAAAGGGTGGCACATTCTCAGTCACAAGCTTCTTTTTCCCTGCTTTTGTTTTTGCCAGGGCTAATGCCTCTGCTTTGAAGTTCGCATTTTGGTCTACAACAGATGGAGCTTCTTCCGGAAGGATATCCGCATCTAATACGTCAAGCTCGTTTTCCAGCCTCTGGGTCACTGGACGCTCTATATCAGGTTGATACTTATCTACATGGAGATTTCAGAAGGACAAATTGAGGGAAATGCTGTTCAAATCAAGTGAGAGTGATTATCTAGAAACAGATAAGTTCACAATACCCTGTTAAAAACTGAGGTGTTTTGGGTCCAAGTTGCTCCTAATCCAATGACTCCTACTGCAGTTCTACAAGCAGAAACCTAAGTGCCATGGCTGACTCCCTGAATCTCACCTCCCACAATTACTTATTCACCTGGTCCCTCAGATCCCAATTCTTAAATATGTCTTGTCCTTCCTTCCCTTCTGCCACTACCCAAGGTCAGGCTTGCAATATCCTGTGACTGTAACAATAGCATCTTCTAACTGACCCCTTCTTTATCTTCAGCCACACCTTCTGCTGGCTACCATAATTATTTTTTTCAATGTAAATATTTAAATATCACTTCTCAAAACCTTTAATGGCTCCTAATTTGATAGAGAATAAAGTCTGAACTCCATACATGACATACAACCTGCAGTGGAAAAGAAAGTAAAACTGTCTTTATTTGAAGATGAGATATTTCCTACATAGAAAAAAAAATCCAAGAGAATCTACAGATAAGCAATTACAACTAAGAATAGAGTTCAGCAAGGTTTCTGGATAAAAGAAGAAAAATATACAAAAGTCAATATCATTCCCACACATCAAAATAACTAATTAGAGAAAACGTAAGAGAAAAAATACCCCATTAACATTAGCAACTAAACTGTAAGGCACTAAGGAAGAAATCCAATGAAAGATGTACAAGACTTTTACAGAAAATATTCAAAGGTATTTTAAAGGACATGAAAGAAAATTTGGATTAATTGTATTCATGAATGAAAAAATACTGTAAAGCTGTCAATTCTCCCCAAAGTGATCTACAATTTCAAATGCAAGTTCAATTAAAATCCCAACAGATTTTTCTGGGGATCTAAACAGGTTAATGCTAAAATTCTTATGAAGTGTAAAATCCCAAGATAGCCCAAATAATTCTGAAGAACAAAAAAGTGGGGAATAGGGCAGGGGTGGGAGTCTTATTTTCCCAGCGATAAAGTGTTCGTGATAAAGCTGTAATAATTAAGGCAGTGTGGGAGTGATACAGGAACAGGCAGAAACCAATGAAGCAGGAGGGATATGACAAAGGCAGTATGACAAATCAGTGAATATGAACTGGATTGTTCAATAAATAGTGCTGAAATTATGAGTATCCACAGGTAACAAAATAAAAATTTAACTGTTCAGCGTGAGGATCCTTGCCTCAAACTGAACGCTTATATTCTAAATGGAATAAAGACCTAAATGTGAAAGGAAAACTTTAAAGATTTTAGAAGAAAATATAGGAGAATATGATTATGACATCAGGGCAGAAAAGGCTTTCTTAAAGTCAAATATAATGTTAACATATTTAAACTTAATTATATGAAACTACAACTTCCTTTTGACAAAAAGACACCATAAAGTCACAGACAAGCCAGAGTCTGGAAGTACATCTCTGTAATGCATATAACTAATATAAGCTTAATATACAGAATATGTAAAGAATGCCTACGAATCTGTAAGAAAAACAAACAATCCAATAGAGAAACAGGCAAAGGATAGAAAACGGCAATTTAGAGAGAAAATGTGAGCTGTCAATGAAAACATGAAAAGATGATCATCACTAATCAGAAAAACTGAAATTAAGACAATGAGGTACCATTTCACACCCATCGGATTAGGGGGGAATTTTTAGTGTGACAATACCACGTATAAACAAGGATGTAGAAAAACAAGTACTCTCACAAGCTACTAGTGCAGGAGTAAACTGGCACAGCTACTTGAAGACTGACCCACACTGTCACCCAGCAGTTTCACTCCTGGGCACAGACTCAGCCTAGAGGAACCCTCACGCTTACACAGGAAGACATGAACACAGATATTCACTTCATCAGTGTTTGTAACAGCAAAAAAGTGGAAACGACCCAAATGTCCATCAATAAGAACTGAGGGGCTTCCCTGGTGGCGCAGTGCTTGAGAGTCCGCCTGCCGATGCAGGAGACGTGGGTTCGTGCCCCGTTTCGGGAAGATCCCACATGCCGCGGAGCGGCTGGGCCCGTGAGCCATGGCCACTGAGCCTGCGCGTCCGGAGCCTGTGCTCCGCAAATGGGAGAGGCCACAACAGTGAGAGGCCCGCATAACGCAAGGAAAAAAAAAAAAAAAAAAGAACTGAGAATAAACTATGGTATATTCATACAAGGGAAACCTATCCAGTGGTTGAATTAATAAATTAGAATTCATGTATAAATATGAACAAGTCTTACAAACGTAAGTGGAGGGGAAAGCAAACTGCAAATGTTGCATTTGTAAGATATCACTGACATGAAACGCATAGCATATGAAACAATATAGTGTTTATGGATAGAGACATAAGCTGTACAAGTATAAAAACAGGGCAGGTCCATATTATAATAACAAAAGTAACCTCTGGTGAGGGAGGGAGGGAGGGGTATAGAATGGGGAGAGAAATATAAAAGGCACTTCAGCTGTAGCTGTCATATTTTATTTCCAAAAAAAAATCTGAGGCAAATAAAACAAAAATGTTAAAGTTTGTTAAATCTGGCTAGTAGATATACAGGTATTTATTATTTTCATTCTTTTTCTATATGTTTGAAATATTTCATAATAAAAGGAAAACTACATTTAGACTACTTTAACTACTTTAAGAGTAGTCTAAACTACATTTAGATTACTTTAATCCGGTCAAAGGCCAGATTCTCCTTGCGTCACCTTTTTAATCTGGTACTTTTCAAGGTCATGGAAGTTACGCAGCAAGGATACATAAATTGGAAGGAAAGAATGCTTAGACTAAAACCTCAGTCTAAAACTTATTAATCCCCAAGTTTACATATAGCAAGGCAACTCTGACCTCTAGGTCCTGATGCCTTTTCAGTTCTGATCTGCATAAATCAACTGCAAATGTAGTACAATTTCCAGGGGCAGCTGAGTTTGAGGACATTGCTGGTGATGGGGAGGGAACCAGCATCCTTACATCTGACAAGTTATACTAATGCACTTGTACCACTGCAAGAACATTCAGAAGCTGCTAAAGAAACACACCAGCCAACAATTACATAAATTACAAGATCAAATCAGGTTCACACATATATCCCAACTGAAAAGATGGGGTTTTCCACCCAAGTGGCTCCCTATGACTTTTGTGGGGGGGAGGGTTGGGAAGAGGAGACCTTAGGAACTCAGAATGGAGGTATTACGTAGAGTGAGATCTAAAACAGAAACAGAAACTGCAACCTTCTGAAATCCAGATTATAAAGACAAAAAAAAAACCCAATAAAATAAATAAAAATAAGAGGGCTACCATATCCTTCCCCATGAACAACTGTATTAAATTTGCAAAGTAGCTAACCATAATACCTCAATTTGTAATGATGATAACGACAGTGATTTTATGATCAGCCCTGACATCTGCACACTTTTTCAGTATCTAACACAATTCACATTCACATTTGAGGCTCACCATGACACACAGAGCAGGTGGGGCAACGATTACTATGGTTTTTCAGATGAGGAAGTAACAGGTAAGTGCTTTACTCAAGGTCACAAGGTCAGCAAGCAGCAGAGTCACATCTTCTGGCTCTCTCAGTCCAGGGCAAGGCCCATTCATTCTGCACTGTCAGGAACTATGGAGCTGTTCCACATAAACACATTTTCCAGATAACTGAAGCTCACTTAATTCTTGATGAATTATCTAACTTGCTACTTACAACAACTAAGTCAGTTACATCGGATAAGGACCACAGGCGTACCTGAGAGATCTTGCAGGTTCTGTTCCAGACCACCAAAATAGAGCAAATATCACAATAAAGCGAGCCACACAAATGCTTTGGTTTCCCAGTGCATATAAAAGTTATGTTTACACTATGTAGTATGTAGTCGATTAAGTGTGCAATAGCCTATGTCTTTAAAAAATGTATACACCTTAATTAAAAAATACTGTATCACTAAAAAATGCTAACCATCACCTGACAATGCAGGGTTGCCACAAACCTTCAATTTGTAAAAAGCACAGTATCTGTGAAGCACAATAAAGTGAAGCACAAAAAAAATAAGGTATGCCTGTATTATCCCCACTCACAGATGAAAAAAATGAAGGTTCAGAGAGATTAAGTCATCAACCCAGGATCACAAACTGGCGGAGCTGGGACTAGAGTGAGGTCTTTCTGGTCCCCGTTTTTCCCACGGTGGTCTGTCTTCCTGCTTTCCCACATTGGTGCCTACAGTGAGTTTTATATTAGCAGGTTTCCCAACTTCTCTCTCTGAATCTGGTCTTCATCTTTCACAACTCAGTTATGGGCGACTCTCATCTTTTAACTCATTTAGGGAACACATCTCTGTGTGCAGGCCTGGAAAGTTCACCACATTCTCATACTCACTCCAGAGTATCATAAATGAGCACCCAGATCTCAGGTTACTGTGATTTGCTGCTCAGAGGCCTTTTCTTGTTCTATTTCACTTCTTCACAGTCACTCATTTAAATGCCTAACCATGTGTCGGCCTTGGGGCTACCACAGAGGATACAGCCGCAAATAGACATCACACCTGTCCTGAGGGAAAGGCTGGCAAAGGCAGCCTTCTAGTTAGAAGGAAGGTGCTATACTAGTCCTACCTGCCTACCAATGAAGGGAACAGAATACCACATTACAGTGAGTAAATATCTAATAGTAACTGAGTAAGTTAGGTTTTGTTACATTCATGATAGAGGCAGTGCATTAAGCTACAGATTTCCACAGAATTAGTTTAGATTGAGAAATAAATGAAAACCAGACTGATATATAACTTTCAAATCAGTACAGGAAACAAAATGAAACAAGAACAACTTGATTAACATAATAAATTACAACAAAGAAAAAAAAGTGGCAAGTGGAAAACAAAAAATAAGGTAGAAAGAAGTTCAAATGTGCTATTAATCTCAGTAAATGTAAGCAGGTTAAATATAGAACCCTACAACAGGGT